ACACAAATTAATTGGGCACTTAAGTTTTTTCTATTGAACTATAAAGCAAATATAACACAATTAAGTACAACAAAATTATAATATAATATTATGGAAAATAAAAGTACATGAAATTTTATTAGGTTCTCTTCATTATGATTTTTGTAGTGGGTCCTTCTCATTCCTTTCTTTCTCTCCTGTTTTACATCTCGGTATTTGTTCTAATATTTTGTGTAGGTGGAACACCAAACGACCTCATTGTACCCAAATATCTCTTTCATTGTCCTTTTATTTCTTTATCATCCTATTGAGTACCATTCAAGAACAACAATCTCATGAAGCCATATATCTCAATTTCTTTATCTCTCTCTCTCTCTCTCTCTCTCTCTCTCTCTCTCTCAGCTCCTCTCTCTTTCTCTCTCTCCCTCTCTCTCCCACCTTATCTATAAGGAAAGGACCATAAGTTCTCAACCTATTTGACTACTAGCTCAACTATACTCAACAACCATAGAATAGAGTATTATTAAACCCATGAACCTTAATTTGCGTGAAAATGTTTTTATGATTACAAACATGATCTTATTTAAGCAAACAATGTTAATATAGATTTATATGGGATTGTATACTATCAATTCAAGTACAAATCAAAAGAGAAAATTCAAAGATTATGGACACTATAAAGTGTATTAGACTTAAAAGGTGGCTAATAATTGAAGATTATTAAACTAGCCCATGATCCAAGAAGCTCAAGTTAACCATATAGTGAAAAAAATACAAACTCAAAATATTTTAAGGTAGGATCTTCAACCTCTAAAATGTATATTTTTATTTTCTCTGCTATTTATTTGTATGTGTCTTAGGTGTAAAGGTTGTTAAGATAACTAACACACACATAAAAGAGTGAAATGGACAAATATAAAATCAAGTAAAAAGTTAATAAAAAATAATAATTGATAATGCTGCATAAATATAAGTTATATTAGATAACCACCCAAGAACTTTAAAGTCAACATATTTTTATTGAACTTTATGATCAAGGACCATGCCACATAGTCATGTTCTTCTTAAAAATATTTCTTAATCATTTTTATTAAGGTAAGGAGAATTAATAATTATTTAAAGTTGATTTTAAAATTATGGTGTTTGATCCATATTGGAAAATATATAGCCACAAAATTTTTCTTTATACTTCTAGAATTAAATTGACATAGCTAACATCATACCATCTAAGAGGCCAGATGGTATATGACTATCAATTTATGAATAGAAATAAGGTGTATATTTTCATAATCAAATGTAGTATAGAAATATTATGATATATTGAAAGACAAGTTTAAAATTGACTATAATTTTTAAAATGAAAATAACTAGGATAGGTATTGTTATACACTAAGAGATTTTCTTCTACTCTAGTGAACAAAAGTAAGGTTTATTTTTTAGCAAAGGTCCATAAAGTAAAACATTCATGGTTAGTTAAATCTTAGGAGAATCTCCTAGAAAAACTTAAAATTAAAGTGATGACTAAATATATAGTAATTTAAAAATAATGTAGACTGGAATTTTCAATCAGAAATTATCAATAAGGAAGGGATCAATGTTTTCAACACTTATTTTTAAATTCATTTGGAGAGAAGTTAAAAAGTGCTTGAGATTTTGGGATTTAAAAAACACAAACCTATACTAAAGTTGGGTTTTCTCAATTTAGATTAGAATTTTGTTTAGGTTTATGTTGATCATTTAATAAATAACAAGAATAATTCATAAAAGAAGTACAAGAATTGAGCAAAAGTGCAAACTAGAGTTACATCTACCTAGAGTGGATAACCAGCTAACAAACTAAAAGATTTTATAAAACCATGCATTAAAGTCTCATCATTGTAAGATAAAATGTATTGTTTAAGTAAGAATAAAGGTTTAAAGTTAGTGAATTAAATTATGTGTTTAAAGATGCTAGACATTAAATGCACCTAGCTTATGCAATTTAAAACACATTGTGCTTTAACTTCTAATATTTTTATATGTAATTAATGGAAATCTATATGTCCAACTTTCTAAGAAAATATAGTAGCTTAACAGCCCTATACTAACAAGAATAATGGACTCGACCACATATTTTAGCTTGTCACTAGGGTTTCATCAGCTTTTCTGTGTTATTTTGTGTACGTGGTAGGAGAAGTAAACATGAATGCTATGAATACATGAAAGGTATAGTTTTTGGAGTGTAAAATTACATATACCATAGAATCATAGGAGTATAACATATATGTGAAAGCAAAACGATATGCACCACAAACAAATTTAGGAAAAGCATGCAATTTCTAATTATAAACTTGTATAAGCAAGCAATTGATCAAAGAAAGTAAATATATAATAATGTAATGAAATTAAGTTTGTGGTAAGTGCCATATAATATGAAAAATAGGATCTACTATAAAGTAAAGTAAGTCAAGCTCCACTGACTACAATCTTTGATTTCAGCACCTAAATAATGACATAAGTTTATAATAAGTATGTTTGCCTATTTATATCCGAAGTATGGTTTATTGGGTGATTTTGATGCTCCGAAGAAGGTAGGATCAATGTCTTGGAGACTGATTAATGATGGTGGAAGATTTCTCAAACCAATTGTTAGATGGAGCATTGTTAATGGTAAAGCTATTGATGTTTTCAAAGACACTTTAACCATGGATAAAGTATTAATATGTGGTCTATGTTTATGCAACCACAATTTAGTAATGTGCGGACAATGAATATGCTTATTACTGAGGATAGCTGGAATACAGGTGAACTAAGTAAGTTCTTTGGGGCTAAACTTGTGAACCTTATTTGTAAGATACATATTTCACTGGATCAAATGGAAGACAGGATGGAACTCACTCATTAGAAAATAGGGAAGACTATTTCTGCTTTAGCATTTGATGTATTGCCTCAAACATATCCTGATTTTCAAAATTGGGAATGGATGAAAAAAGATAAACTACTACCTCACGTAGAAACTTTCTGGTGGAAAATTTTTAATAATGCCATTCCAACTTTTATATTTTTGAGAAGATTACAAGGTAGAATCCTCTATCCAAGAACATATGATGAAGCTGAAGACATTGTTTATATTACAATCAAATTTAAGAAGCTGAAGGAGGTATTTCAGCACATAGATAAATGGGGCTTTAGAATTCAGTCATTTGAATCTTTAGAAGATTCTTGTAGGTGGCTTGCTATTCAGAACACATTGGTAGTTAGACTACATTGCAATGCAGTTTACTTTTCATGGAAGACAAGGAATGAGCTGGTTCTTAGAGGTAGTGAGGAAACTTCAATGGCGATTGTGGTTAAATCTGTTAGCTATATTATAGTTTCTTCTTCTTATTATGATTATAGACCGGGGAACTAGGATGCTAATCAGCTTTCTAAGATATTCTATAATCATTGGCATCCTCCTCCACCTGAGTAGATCAAAGTGAATTTGGATGCATCCTTATTATCTTTTTATAAAGATGGGATCGGTCGGGTGTTCCATGACTATGAAGGTAGATTTTTCTTAACATTGTGAAAGGCTTGTGTTCATTGGGATGTTTCCCGATTGGAACTTTTTTCTATTCAGTCTTTAAAGGAAGTTATCAAAGATTAGATGTTCTCATATAAGGGTTTTATCGTTGAAGCTGATAATGAAAACATAATTAAGTTTCTCCATAATGCACTAAGGAAAGGTGTCCAAGAATCGAAAGTTCTTTCTTTCATTAAGAAATTCAATCATGTGATTTTCAATTGTATAGATAGAAATAGTAATAAATTAGTGGATTTATGTGCTAACTATGCTACTTTTAGTTCTTTTATTTGGGATGACATTCGTATGAATAAGGTTCCTCCTTCTTTTACCAGGTTGTTAAAGGAGGAATCTGATGTTAGTTGTTTGTAGTTTATTTTGGTTGTTTTTTAGTTATTAATGCAAATGGTTGCTTCTTTAAAAATGAAAAAGCTCCAAGTACGAACAAGAATCAATAAAATACTAAAACAAATTATCTTAAAAAAAGAAGCATTCTTTGGACTTATATATTTTAAGAAATTTACTTTAGAAATTCACAACTCCTTATAATTTACAACTCTATACAATTATATATATATATATATATATATATATATATATATATATAAATTTAAAAGAAAAATAGACTATACTTTTATAGGGGTTAAAATATAAAAAATAGGTATATATATCATCTACATCATCAAAAGCTACATCATAGAGATGCAATGAAAATTAACACTCATATTGGCATCATACATCCACTAAGATAGTAAAAACCCATAATAGTGTGTAGGAAAGTAAACACCCACACCATAACGTCCTTCCTAACCTAAGTTAAGGCTGATTATCCTAGCAAGAAAATCTAATGTGCGTGTTAAGCTGTGTTGCTTAGTTATATCCTCAATTGATTGATGACTGAATAATAAATAAATTAAGTTTTTGTGTTGCAGGACAAAGGGATTTAATTTAAGTTTAAGATCTATAACATTACTTTTGTTTTGTTTTTAAATGTTTATGTCATTTATTTTATGTTTTAAATGATTATGTTAATTAATAACTTAAGTGCCCTTAAGGTCATTAATTAACAACTCCCAGGCTTCTAAGGGGATGTATTTCATTCAATATAAAGTATAAAGTAAATACATAAAGCCTTATTTTTATTAAATCCATTATTTTTATTTTATTTTCTTATTTTAAATAATATATTTATTATTAATTTATCTATTTATTATTATTTATTTAAGGAAATTGTTTTAATCATTTTGGATTAATTTTTTTTAGGATTTATGAAGTAAAATTTATTTTATTTGATTTTTAATTTAATTTTTTATATGAAGTTTTTATTTTCTTTTATTTTTAATTAACTTTTATTTAATTTATTATTTTTTTATTTTAAGTAATGATTAGTCGATAAGTTTTATATTGGTTGTTAACTTCCTAACACAGTCCTCCACTTCTCTTATCAAAAACTTGGGACACAGCAATGGCAATGTTAAAAAATTTGGTCAATTTGTTGATTTATGCATGTTATCCTTGCGCAGGGCTATAGTAATCATCTGTGTATCTTTTTAATTTTATTGATGTCTTTGAATAGAAAATTCTATAAAATGGCAATGAGACTTGCAATGATTTATGACATAGAATGTTGGCCATTAAAAGAGAAGCTTATTATTAAGTTAAGTGTTATAAAGATGAGGTTTCTTAGGTGGATGAGTGGATTTACTCTTAAAGACAATATAAGAAATTAGCAAATATGTGAAAAGGTTTAAGAAGCTCTAGTGGAAAATATAATAGAGAGAGTTGGCTTATATTGTTGTTTACATAAAATGGTAGCCTTTTGACCTGGTTAGGAAAGTATATGTATTAGACTTGGCCTATGTTAAGAAAGGTAGATGTAGACCTAGAAAGACTTGGTTAAAAAATATTAGAAATAACCATTCTTTTTTAGATTTAAATGATAATTTGACCCTTAATAAGACACAATGGAGTAAAATTATTTATGTAATCGACCCCACATAGTGGGATAAAGGATTGATGTTGTTGTTATTGATATTTAATTTATCTATTTATTTACTGAAAATTTGAGAATGTTATTAAACCTCACATAATTAGCCCTAGGTACCCCATGAGGGGGGGGGGGGGGGGGTGAATTAATAATTTTAAAATTTGTTTATCATAAAAAATGTTTTGTAATTTTTTAATACCTTGAAATAAATAATTTGATCACCCGAAGCAGAAACTAATAAACTTAAAAATAAGTATAATAATGATGATGTTATTCTAATTAGTACAATAAAACATTATTTTTAAAATTTTCACCAAGTAGTTATCACATAAATTAAATATGAAAAAGTAAAATGCATAAAATAAAATAAGAACAAACACACCAGAATTTTATAGTGGTTCAGCCAAACCATGATGTACGTCTACTTATTAGAGCTCTTGTCTCTGAGTATTACACTAAGACCTTTAGTGACTCTCCTGTAGCCCCCATAGCTAGGTGTAAAAGCCCTTACAAAATCTCTTCCACCAACCCGGTGCGATAGAGGACCTTGAATTATTTTTCACCCTTTTGGTGAAGGCTGAGAACCTGGAATCCTTTTTCATCCTCCTAGTGAAGGCAGAGAACCTATAATCCTTTTTCACCATCCTCATAAAGGCAGAGAACTTGGAGGAACTCAGGGTCAAGTTTGATAGAGCAATCATGTGGAACTCCCTCTCACACTCCATTAAAACTCACAAGGATCTTCTCCATCTCTCACAAACTCCATTCTTTATTTGACAAGCTCTAAGCTCTCCATTCAAGCTTACTTAAGAAGAAAACACCTTAATGAATGCTAAAATGACTATTACAAAGTGGGAAAGCTTAAATAGGGAGCTTAAAAAAACCCTAAAAACTCAATTCATCCATCAAAGATTGTACGATATGATCATAGGTTTCTTCCAGTACGATATACAAAATTTGAATTTTTAGTGCTGCATGATCATCAATACAATGAATATTCATACAATATAATTAGTTCAATTTTTCCTATTAGCATTCTACTATCAATATTATAAATGAATAGTTGTATAATACGTTTAGTTCAAATCTTATAGGAAAAATTCTTGGATGACTAAATATCATTTATGTCAATCATACAATATGATCCAAATCATATAGTAGGATCAAAATATCAAAATTAAATATATTCTGTTGATTAATCACATGATTAAAATGGGCAATATTTTAAACTTTGTACAATACAATAAGATTCTTATAATATGAATATAAAAACAATTTAAATGCAATTTTTTTCCAAAATTAATGAATGTCAGGATTTTTTATTATAACAGATCATCCAATATCTTTTTAAAGGGAAACCCACCATTGGGCCTACATGTTAATTAACAAAAAGGATTACAAGGTCCTTAAAAGAACCTCCAGCTCGCTACTGCTCAGAATAACAACAAAGAAAATTAAAAAAGAATATATGAGCCAGATGCCTTTACTAAACAATAGTACATGAATACCTAATAACATTCTATGAAGTACAAAACCAGAAGCAAAAATGGAGAAGAAAAGATAAACCCAATCAGCTCATTCTTCTTGACCAAAAAATGACCCTGCATAAAATGAGAACAAATCTCCTAAAACCTGCAGAAAGAGGCTGCAACGATAAAGGTAATAGCAAAAAAAACATAATAAAAACAATATTAATAGGAGAAATAGTTACAAGAGAATACAACTTTAAGCTACAGTACCAAGAAAAAAAATTGGCACACTAAACTAGAATACCACAACCCACACCTCTAATTCATGTCAGCATTGATACCAAAATAAACAACAAGGAGCAAGTTGAATCCATGATACCCAATACATCCTTGAAAGAATATAACAAACTCCAGAACAGAGGACCAAAATTAGCAGAATGCCAAGTCCACCACCATGAGAAAGTGGAAAACTCAAGCTAAGCCAGTGAAAAAAAAAGGAAAAAACCAACTGATCATCCAAAGATGACTAAGGAAACAGAGATTATAAATGTCCCATTGGTGACAAACACCAACAAATAAAAAGGTAAACTAGTAAACAAGAGGAAGATAATAAACTTCACCATTAGAATACCAAATACTATATCCCAGTAAAACATCCCTAGCATTAAAACATAACTAATCCTACCACGCCTGCAGCACACCTACGGCTCAAATCTGATCCAAAATAGAAAATGTTGCAAATCTGGTTTTATGAATTAGAATTTTAATGATAGAAAACATTCTTATTTTTTTTATGACTCCTTGCCCACTAACTTTTCAGGTCAACAAGATCAAGTGCAACTAAAGCCAGCTCAAGATTGAGTAGATTAGGTCTGAGTCAGTTTGTAATGTATTTTTTCCCTTTCTTGAGTCAATTATAATCTTTGTGGTGCATGATGCTAAGTAACCCTGTAGACACACACACTTGGGTGAATTTTTTCTATCTGACTTAAAGTTTTTTGATTTTGCTAACATCATTCAAGACGATCCAAAAATTGTCTTGGAAAATCAATCAAAAATAGAAAACCTAATTAGGGTATCATGGTTAAGGCAGCCATTATTAAGCATATTATCCTTGACAATTTTTGTATCGACTGGGATGATATGCTCAAATTAGAAAGAATCAGCCACTATATCTATTTAGGTTGTTTTAGTTTTTAATCATCATCCAGAACATCAGCCTAGATGATGGGGTTCAATTATACCTAAACTGATCTAGTCGTTAAGGAAAGTAATTAAGGTTGATTGATTTGATCATATTGTCCTGGACGATCGTAGGATCGGGCAGGATGATCAGTTCAAAAACCTTAATTGCTCCTAGACGACCAAAAATCATACATAGTCTATTCAGAGCGATGTTCTGGATGCTTTTTCATTTGAACTAATCGGACATGACGATCATGAGATTGGTGTAGATGATCAAGTCATTTTGTTTTCGTCTAGACTCCCATTCAGAGCGATGTTCTGGATGATATTCCATGATTTTTACTGATCGTATAGGACAATATATTATCGTCCTAGATGATAGGAACAAAAAATCTTCTAATCATCCCAAGTCATCCAGACTGATTGAGCTTAATTTGTACTAATTGTACAAGATGATAGCAATATCATCCTTGACGATAAAGTCAGTTCTTAAAAATCTATTTAAAGGACTCATGTTTTCTCAAGCATAAAAGTCTTTTACTGTAGCCTTGGCCTGAGAGAGCCTAGAGGAGTGGAAGAGAGGGAGAGGGAGGGAGGAACTTGTGAGGGGGTTTCACAAGGGTTGCTCCAAGCAAGGGTCAAAGGTGTCTTCTCCAATCATCATTCCTCATTCTTAGAGGCTCAAGGGAGGTCTTCTTCAATAATTGATCGAGGTTCTCTGCCTGCTTCAGGAGGAAGCAAAAGGAGTCGGTTCTCTACCACACCGGGGTTGGTGAAAAGGAGTGTTTTATAAGGGCTTATTTTCCTAGCTTTGGGGGCTAAAGGAGAGACACTAAGTTAGTCCAATACTCAGATAGTGCCTCCGAGAAGTGGACGTAGGTCAAGGTTTGACCGAACCACTATAAATTTGGTGTGTTCTTTCCTTTATTCTTACTTACTCATTTAATTATCGCACTCTATTTTTCTTATGGTGAATTATGTTTTGGATTAAGTTCATGATTTGATTGAGAAGTTTTTAAAATACCAATTCACCCCCCCTCTTGGTTAGCCTCTGAAGTAGTTCATAAGGGCTTAACATCCCTAATGAACTTTAAGAAAATGTTTGCTGGAAAAGTGAATATAACTATGAAGCATACAACCAACCAACATATAGTTAGAAGGGATGAAAACATGAAAATGAAGATTGCAAGAGTTAGTAAAGTTTTAGCCCTCAAAATGTTTATAATGACTAATTAACATCTTTGAGCTAAAAGAACAAATATCACCATAATTTATACACTCAAAATTGTTCTAGCAGTTACCAGATCCTTGATCGAAAATACTAATTAAATGTCCCGTATGAGCAGAAAAGGACCAGAGGTTCTGAAAAAAAATGTAATCCAAGAAAAATATAAGGTGCTTCTTGAATAGAAGGGCCCAAAGCCCAAACACACCCGAAAAAAAAAACGAAAAAGGATAACAACACCAAAGCCAACACCCATAAAGATTAGGAGATTTTAACCTAAGGAAGACCCATACTACAAAGTTTTGCTAAACCCAAAAGTTTGCCATGGTTGGAAGTTCGCACATAATCCATAAAGTTCAATAAATTGAAACCCTTGTTAGCTAAAAAATTAGCAGCAGAATTACATTCCTGTAGATGTGCAAAATAGAATAGATAATGAGAGAAAGACATTGATGAATTTCCCTGATAAGGTAGAAGTAAAAGGGATTGCCATTAATAATCCCATTAATATAATGGATCACATGCTTGGAATCAACTTCAAGCCAATATTAGTAATCCCTAAAGAAATTCATAATTAAGCACCATACTTTAAAGCTTGAAGATCAGCCATAATATCATTCTTAACATGTAAGGGACAAGCAAAAGCCACAATAATATCACCATTAAAGTCATAGATGAGCTCACCACAACCAGCACTAAGAGTATTAAAAGAA